TATATATATATATATATATATATATATATATACTTTCATGTAAAATATCATTCTATACAAACACACATAAATAAAACACCATTTTACATTTTTACATATTTATCAAAACATACAATTTAGACTATTCTCACTTACAATTTTTGCCTCGATATGTATTCATTATGTCAATGAAAGAAGTTACTCTTACAAAATGAACATTAAGATTGTTGAAAATTTAAATAATTAGTTTTGTTTAATGACAACAATTGAACATCAATATTTTTGTAAAAAATTAAGATTATATTATTGTTTAGTTTTCAACCGTTACGAAGCCCCACCTTTAATATTAAAGTTGACAAAATAAATCTGTAGGGCCTCGCTTACTTATCAGGATGAGGTGGGATACCAATCTTAACCAACCTTATCCTGTGTATACTATACATGATTGGGACTAAGATTTAGCTCATGTGGCAGGTGAGTCCCATGTGCAGATGCTGGATAATTCAATCTAATTGAATAGGTGAGATATTTTTATCTCACTAATGAAATGACTATTATGTCTAAAAAAACATAATATTATTTAATATAAAAGAGTATTATTAAATTTACAAAATATTATGTCATTTAAATAATTTTATTTAATTTAAAATAATATAATTTAATTTAAAAATATTAATTTAAATAATTTTATTTCATTTAAAAATATGATTTAATCTGAATATTTTTTAATCTAAACAATATTATTAATTTAAAAAATGTAAATTTAATATTATATAATTTAAAAAATATTATTTAATCTAAATAATTTTATTTAACTTAGAATATTATTTAATTTTAAAAATATTAATTTAAAAATATATTTAATTTAAATGATTTTATTTAATTTAAATAATGTAATCTAATTTAATAAATATTAATTTAAAATAAAATAATATAATAATTTTATTTAACTTAAAATATTATTTAATTTTAAAAATATTAATTTAAAAATATATTTAATTTAAATGATTTTACTTAATTTAAATAATGTTATCTAATTTAATAAATATTAATTTAAAATAAAATAATAGTATTTAATTTTAATTAATTATTTTTGAAAAAATAATATTTTAAATAATTTTATTTTTATGAAACAATATTCATAAATTATTTAAGTTCTATTATAAAAATGTAATAATTATTTATTTTGTAAGTACACTATTGATGTCAAGTCAAGTTCATATGGGATTATTAATTTTATATATAATATAAACAAACTTTTTAATAAATTTAAAAACAATTAATCTTTAAAATATATCTATAATTTATTTTTAGGGTCGAAAATAGGGGGAAAATTTTGATGTTTTGTGCGTAGGAGATGAGGATATATTTGTCTTGTGTCATTTCTCATATCATTTTGTCCAAGTTAGTAAATGTTTGATTGTTTTTTTTTCTTAAGATGCATCATGTTTTGTAAACAATGAATAAATATTGACATGTAAAGTGGGTGAAATAAATCTGTCCAATCTCACCCCTTAAAGTAAAAGAGGCTTAGGACTATTATCCTACAAATCTAACTATTAGATGGTTATACATTTTTAACAAACATGCATGTTTCTTTTCTTTCCTTTATATTTTTTTTATAACAAAAGTGTAATACTTTAACAAACAATATACATAAAAATATGATATTTTTCAGTATAAATATATTTTTTAATTGAAAAATGTCTAACCGTAGAGTTGATAATTTGTGAATTGAATAATATCAATGAAGTTAGGAGTTTGAACGAGCATATACAAGCCCGAGTTCCTGACAATCGAGCTTGAGCTCGAGTCATTATCAAGTCGAGTGACTTAAATAAATTACCAAATACACGGGTTTGAGCTTGACTCAAATTTAACGAGCTAAAATTTTAAAAAATTATATTTATTTTAAGTATCTTAACGAGTTTTAAATGAGTTCGAAATTAATTTATTTACGAAACTTAGAGCCTAACTCACCAGCGTCTCGTTGCATTCAAGAGCATTATAATTAAATTGGTTCGGTTTTTTTACAACTGTGAAGCCCCACCTAGAGCCAGCAGCAAAACTCCAAGCACTAAAACTCAGGCAAATCGAACCACCGGGCGCAGGTTAGCTGTCCCCACCGCCTCGACCCCTTTGCTAAACCCCAAAACCATGCATTCAGACAAACGACCACCGCCACCGCTCCTCCACCCCTCCGCTTAACCTGCGCCACCCCCCTCCCACTGACACAACTCCATTAATGCTCTGCAAACCTCTGCCACATCTACTCATTACATACGGTTTCTGTATCTACATCCGATCCGTGAAGCATCATTAAAACCCACACCAGCCAAAAAAAAAAAAAAAACAACTCTAAAACTTTCAATCTTTTTTTTTTTCACATTTTCTCCTTCTTTCCTCCTCAATTTTGGTGGGCCCTGCTGAAAATCGCATGCGATATTTTGTGTCCGGCCGATCTCCGATCGGGTGAGGCGTCCTGTTGAATCCCAAGATCGGAGCTGGATTCCTACTCCTCCGGGCGTCCGGAGGATGAATCCGCTCTGCTGCATTGCTCCGGTGACTTCCGACACCGATCGAGCTGTGGTGAAGCCGCACGCGCCGGGCCAGGAGGTTGGTTCCGAAAGTGGCTACTTAGATTCCACTGAGGTTAACGGTGGTAAGAATGGGATCTGCCGGCCGTTGAGTTTTAACTCGAGAAGCAGCTTCTCAACCAACAGCCGCGGTGGAGGAGGAGGAGGCGGAGGGCTTGATTCAGTCCCCGATGCTTTTGGGGAAAACGATGAGGTGAGGAGCGTGGCCGGGATTCTGTACAAATGGGTTAATTACGGGAAGGGATGGAGGGTTAGATGGTTCGTGTTGGAGGATGGGGTTTTGTCGTATTACAAGGTGCACGGGCCGGATAAAATCGCAGTCAGCTTGGCGAAGGAGAAAGAGTTTCGGGTGATTGGTGAGGAAAGCTGGAGGTACATGAAGAAGGGCAGCATTGTTAATTATAGTGGGAATGGTTTTGTGGGGAATGATTTTGGCTCTGAGAAGCAGTGGAAGCCATTTGGAGAGGTTCATTTGAAGGTGAGGTGACTAATTTTCATGGAATTGAGTTGAAACTTTTGGATTTTGTATATTTTGTCTGTTGCTTGTTTGTGCCTTTTACTATGTCATTTGTAGAGGTACATTTGAAGGTGAGCTGACTGATTTTCATTGAATTGAGTTGAAACTTTTGGATTTTGTAGATTTTTGTCTGTTGCTTGTTTGTGCATTTTACTAAATATAGGTATATATTGGGTCATTGGGGTGCTGCCATTAATGGAACAGAATTGAATGTTTTGCGAATAATTTTTGAACAGGTTTCATCTGTTCGGGTCAGCAAGTCGGACGACAAAAGGCTTTACATATTCACCGGAACTAAAACTCTCCACCTTCGTTGCCAGTCGAAGGAGGACAGGGCTTTGTGGATCGAGGCACTTATGGTGGCTAAAGATAAATTTCCAAGACTTTTGACGAGCAATGAGTTGGCACTTTCTGAAGAAATCGTAGTTTCTACGGAGAAACTGAGATCGAGATTGACTCAGGAAGGGATTAGTGAGACTGTGGTCAAAGATTGTGAGTCCATAATGCTAGGTGAGATTGCATTGATACAGGACCAGTTGAAGAATCTTCAAATCAAGCACGTCTTGTTGCTCGACACATTAAGGAGACTCGAGGTTGTATTTTATCCTTTGCTTGTGAAAACATTTTGCTTGGACAAATGGGCTTCTGCTGTTTTTTGCTTTAGATGACTTTATTCAGTTATTTGGAACCATTTCGTGGTTATGCTCAGGAAATACTAGGTTTTAGACGGATGAAACGGTTTAAAAAATGAGTTCAAGATGCCTCCCTTTTCTTTTTAGATATTAGCTTATTTCTCATCCTCATTGTCATGTCCCAACAAGAACTGTTTGAAATGAAACTGAGACGATAACGTGATGTGTACTGGATTATCTTGATTTGTCTTAGCACATAACTTGCATAAATCCATTACATCCCACATAAAATTGGTTAAATTTCATCTACAGACTGAGAAAATTGAGCTGGAAACTACTGTAGTTGATGAGACCAAGGCTCGGGATTCATGCTGTACACAGGGGAGAAGGTTCAGTGGTGAGTTCATCATCATTTATACTGTGGTTTTATTTGAACTCAAGAGATGTTTGTTTGATACCCAATTCGTAATGTTTCCAAATGAAACTGATTAGCTAATTATATATATATATATTTTTTTTAAATTTAAGCAGTTTCGGATTTCTATTCGGTCATGTCGGGGGGAAGTGCTACTGACTCAGAAGCAGATAACGAAAGTCGATATGGAGTTGATGTTGAAACGGAAGATGAAAGAATCTTTTTCGACACGAACGATTTCTTGTATTCAGATTCTCTCAGAAGCAGTTCATACAGAAGACGAGATAATCCAGTATATGCTCATAGTCCCTCAACAACTGAAAGGCGATCTTCCTTCTCTGGTGTTGGGGTAGAGATAAGGGAACCCAACTTCCCATATATCAAAAGACGGGATAATTTACCGGAACCAAAAGAGAAAGATAAGCCAGTAGGGCTATGGTCGATTATTAAGGACAATATTGGAAAAGACTTGTCGGGTGTTTGTTTACCTGTTTACTTCAATGAGCCTCTATCCTCACTGCAAAAATGCTTTGAAGACTTGGAGTACTCGTATCTTGTCGACCGGGCATTGGAATGGGGAAAGCAGGTCAGATATTTATTTATTTATTTATTTATTTATTTATTTATTTTTCTGATTTGTTGGGTTAAGATTTTTTATTGTGGAGAGTTCTGGTTTTGGTTTGTATAAATGCTATGCTTTAGGTGTTTATTGATTTGTCATCTGGTAAATGCTAACTGAATTGTAATTAAGTGATTAGTCACGGGTTTTACTAAACGGTAAGCTGATTTTTATGTTATAGGTAAGAATATGTACATCTATAACATTGCAATCAATAGTTTGTTGATTTGGTAGGTTAAGCTTTCCATTTTTTGAGTTGCAGCTTTTTAAAATAACAATTTCCACTTTTGCAGGAAAACGATTTGATGAGAATTCTAAATGTAGCAGCTTTTGCTGTATCTGGTTATGCATCGACCGAAGGCCGACAATGCAAGCCCTTTAATCCTCTCCTAGGGGAAACCTACGAGGCTGATTATCCCGATAAGGGTTTAAGATTCTTTTCTGAAAAGGTTACTTGTTTGTCAAAAACCCAAACTCTCCACATTGATGTTATTATATTTCGCTTTATCATAATTAGATAGTTATAAATGGACAAAGTTCATCTACCTAATGGTAGTTAACTACCGTAACTTTTAGCATATGATGGTAAATATTTTTTTAATTTTTTTTCTTTAACTTCATTGTTTTAGGTAAGCCATCACCCGGTGGTTGTTGCCTGTCATTGTGAGGGCAAAGGGTGGAAATTTTGGGGGGATTCGAATCTCAAAGGAAAATTCTGGGGTCGATCAATCCAGCTCGATCCTGTGGGGGTTTTAACCTTGCAATTTGAGGATGGTGAGACATTTCAGTGGAGCAAGGTCACAACTTCTATATATAACATCATAATCGGTAAAATCTATTGTGATCATTATGGAACCATGCGCATCAAAGGTAGTGGTCGATATTCGTGCAAGCTCAAGTTCAAAGAGCAGTCCATCATAGACCGAAATCCACATCAGGTGAAATTTTCATGTTCTCTATATAAAAACTAGCTTTGGGATTTATTTGCTTTA